GCCTTTGTAAGAAAATCAGCAGGCATAGAGGTAGTCGGAACATGAGACATAGTAATATTGTTGAGCCTAACATGATCCCGTATAAAGTGGTAGCAAACGTCAATATGCTTAGATCTGTCATTGATAACTGGTTCCTTGCATAAAAATACAGTGCCTCTATTGTCGTTAAATAGTTGTATGGCATCACCTACTGATGAAATTGATACAGCCGACACCGGTAAGTTGAGATCCTGAAAGAGAGTTTTGAACCAAATAGCATGCCGAGCACAGTCAGAGATAGACATATACTCAGCCTCGGTGGTGGACAAAGCAGTCAATTTTTGACGTCGGCTTCTCCATGATAGGATGGCATCCCCATAGGTAAAAAGATAACCCGTAACTGATCGTCGATCCACTAAATCATTTGCGTAATCGGTGTCACCGTAGCCTTTAAGATCGGCAGGCATCGAGCCTTTAAACTTGATACCTTTAAATAAAGAACCTTTTAAATAACAAACAAGGTGTTTGGCGGCATTCCAGTGCTCAAAGGTGTAACAAGAATTAAACCGTGATAATTGGCTGACAGCATACGCTATATCCGGGCGAGTACTAACCACAGCCCAATTGAGTGATCCTATCAAAGATTGATAAGGCAGGTACGCGGCGACAGCAACGTCTTCAGGAGTACCGGGTCGAAGTTTCACGCCAAGAGGTAAAGGAACTTTTACTGGATTTAAATTATCCATACCAAATTGGTCCAACATGTCTTGAAGAAAATGAGATTGATCAAGAGAAATAGCACTGTCCGTATGGTATTGAATTCTCATACCCAGGTGTAGAGACGGCTTGACCTTCCACTTAAGCTCGTAGGATTTAAGAAGGTGAAGTCAAAATTCTTCAATGAGAGGATCGTGATTTGAGATAAGGAACCCGTCATCAACATGCATGTGTAAATAAAGGAAATAAGAACCACGTCTAAACACAAATAAACAATTGTCTGCTTTTGAAGTCGTGAAACCGAAAGCTTTAAGTTTTTGTCAAAGATCATCGCTGAAATCTCTAGCTCCTTGACGAGTTCCATAGAGAGATTTACCAAGCTGAACAACCATGCCTTCAGTTCCAGGAGTCACAAAACCCTTAACCTGTTGAATGTATACACGTTCTTTTATTAGACCGTGCAGAAAAGCAGTCATTATATCAAACTGAATTACCAAACACTTCAGGTAAGCAGCGATAGCAGTGAGCAGCCGAAACGTGTCCGATTTGCCAACAGCCAAGTACGTATCGTGAAAGTCTACACCTTCAACTTGTCGATTACCAAAACACACCCAACGGGCTTTATACTTCAATACAGCACCCTTCTCATCTCTTTTCTTTTTTAAAACCCACATACCTCCAATTACTCGAACACCCTCTGGTCTAGGAACAAGTTTACCAACTTCATGTTGTTTCAAAGAATCGAATTCGGCCTGCATGGCTTTCTTCCATTCCGCGGCATCCGGAGCTTCCATTGCCTGTTTGTAAGAAGGTTCATTGTTTAAGTCCGAGCCAGAATGACCAACAAAATTTTCTAATCTTTGTGGCTTACTAGTGTGTCTTGTAGATCGTTTGACAACCGTTGAAGCGGGTGTTGGCGAAAGTAGTGGTTGACAAGAAGATGTAGATGGAGAAGGAGAACGTATATTTGGAAGAACAAGAGTCTTAAGAAGTGGATTATCAATAGGACTATTTGAAACATCATTTCGATTTGTAATAGGAGATAGGATTGTTAAAGATAAATCTTGTACAATAGATTGATTGACTTGAGATGATGATGTTAGAGCTTCTATATCAATACCACTGTCTTGAAGAATAATAAAAGATGGAGAAGAGTTCTGAGTAGGAAGTGAAGAAAAAGGGAATAGCTCCTCATTAAAGATTACTGATCTTGTAACAACTATCTTCTTGTCAGTCAGATCCCATACCCTATACGCCTTGGCTATTGGTTCATATCCCACTAGCACACCATCCTTCCCTTTCATACCCAATTTTCCTGAGATCTGCAGTGCTAGATACACAGCCGAGCATCCCAGAGTTCTTAAAAAGGACGGATCAGGCCCATGCGAACCTTTTCCGGGAAGAAATTTGTTCCATGCTCCCAAAGGAGTTTTGTAACTGAGAAAGGAGTGTGGTGAGTGATTAAGGGTGAAGGTGGTTGCTAGGGCTATTTCAGCCCACATATTCGTTGGTAATGATGCGTGATTGAGATTACATCTCACACGTTCTATAAGTGATTGATTATACCTTTCCGAAATGGAATCCTGCTCAGGCGTTTCAGCAGGACCTTGCTCCAATGATATTCCGTTTTGAGATAGATAATTGATGAAAGCCTTAGATTGATATTCTCCACCACGGTCACTATGAAAAATCTTGATCTTACGCTCAAATAACAATTCTACGTTGGTCTTAAATTTGACAAAACAATCAAAAACATCCGACTTAAGCTTAATAGGAAAGATAGTAGCATAACGAGAACAATCATCTATGAATGTAACTATGTATTTAGCACCACCGATAGATTTAGGAAATGGACCAATTACATCTGAATGAATTCTGTTGAGAACAATAGAAGAAGAAGGAAAATGTGATTTAAAAGGAAGTTGAGAAATCTTAGCACGCTGACATGTAAGACAATGAGAACGAGAACGGAAATCAGAGGAAGAAAGTTTAATGTCACCTCTTGAAGCCAATTTTCTTATTGCATCGTAGTGAAGGTGACCTAGACGGTGATGCCAACGCTCAGCCGATGCGGTGAAAGCAGAGACACATGATAAAATGCAAACCTTTGTTTCCCATAAGGACTTATCTTTTGTGCGAGTACATGTAAAATAGGAGTGCCCCGACAAACCAGCTACAGTAATACTTTCATCCGAACCAGAGAAAGAAGCACCATTTGAACATAATTGGCTCAAAGATAATAGATTAACTTTCATGGTAGGTACATATAACACCTCTGGAATGAGGATTTCGACCGGTTAATGAGTGATTTCAGAGAAGCCGGGGATTACAATTGTTCCGATGTGAGTGGCATATTGAGGTACATTTGAAATACCGGTTATCTTAACATGACTGACTTCTTTGAGCTGGACGAACATATTCTTGTTGGAAACTATGTTTCGGGAGGCTGCTGTGTCGGCTAAGATGCTACCGTAAGTCGTGTCACTCAAGGACGCAGAGTAAGCGTGTGCGGCAAATCCTTTGTCAGGAAAGTCATCCACTAGGTCAAGTGCACTAAACTGGTTACTGGTAGTCACGTTAAAAGCAGGCGCCGATTCAACATTCTTCTTAGCCGAATGAGCCGCTTCGATTGCAAGATAGCGTTTAGCCATCTCTGATTCAGATAAACCGCCAGAAGACTTGCCTGATTGAGAAGACGGTGTCGGTAATTTGCTACGAGGTTTCATTCCATTTTGAGCAAAGCAGTTACGATTAGAATGAGGTAAACCACGATGCTTGTCCAAGTTGCACAAGTCATCAGGTCCAGGACCAATACATTTGGCATCACGGGTGTTAGAGTTCCGATTCGTAGTCAAAGACACTGTTGATTTGGCAATAAAAGCATTCGTAGAAGACACAGATCTGGAGGACGATTGTTTCGCCGTTTCAAGCACTAATCGATCCATAACTTTTTGAACAGTTAAAGTCAAAAGATCAGCAAAGAATGGAGCCGTGATAAATTCAAACTCCTTGCCAAGACCGTTCATCAAGAAGATTGCCAAAAGTTTGGGAGATAACGCAATCTCTTTGTCTTCAGCGGCATACTGAGCCAATTGATTGTGTAAATTTCGAATACAAATGATGAATTCTGAAAGGGATTGACCAGGTTCCAATATGGCCGTAGCAATTTCACATATAGCCGCCGCTGCTAAAACACCACCACTATTACCGTGAGCCCGACATAGAGTTTCGTATGCAATTTTAGGAGTATTGGTAATTTGAACCAGAGAGTCGTTGGCCGCGTCCAAAGAATTGACAATCAGTTCCATAACACGACCTTGATGACGTCAATAAATTACAAGTTCGGCGGAGGCAGTCGGCGGAGTGTCATTGGTCAGAAAGGCGAGCAAACCCCTAGTCTGAAGGGCGAAATGTAAACGCTTATTCCAGTGAGGAAAATTGCCGTCACTGAGGATCGGGATCTTGATGCGGTCATCACCCGTTCCAGTAGTGGTCTCAAGAGTAGCCATTGATGTTGGAAGAGATAATAGATTATCGGTAGAAGAAGATGTGCCTGGAACGATAGTTCTTGAAGACAACGAGATTGAAACAGTAGACCCGACAGAATCGGAGGCCGGTGGATTGATGATCGAGTCGTTAGTGAACAAGTCGGAAACAGGAGAACCAGAAATGATAGGTGAAGAGGCCATTTCTGGGATAAAGATTCAAAAGGTCGATAATGACGTCAATTGTGTATTTGTATAAACCTGTGTTTTACTTGGTAAAAAGGCTCATAACCTATGAGTATTGCACGGATTCACAAACACGACGATAGTTAGTTTGTGATGAAGTCAATAGCTTTGAAAGAGATCAATTTCGCAAAATGTGTACACGATAGAAAACATGAGAGAAATATGAAAATAAGCATCAAGAGAAAAGTAAAGAAAAGGAAAAACATAAAGCAAGAGAATCATACCTATGAGTATTGCACGGATTCACAAACACGACGATAGTTAGTTTTTGATGAAGTCAATAGCTTTGAAAGAGATGAAGATCAAAGCTAAGTGCAAGCTCATAGTCTTTATAGTAATGAAAACTAGATGTGAGAGTTACGCGCACAAAAATGATTATCAAATAAAAAGAAACATATCAAATTCATCATGCAGGATGAGACAGTCACAGAACTTCATCACGCAGGATGATCATAACACAGCACTAATCAAATAACACTACTATCACAATTTGATAATCATCAACACCAACAGGGGCGAGCCATAGGACAATTCACAATGATTGAGTTTCTTCTTGATTGCTGTTCATTTAAATCACTGTGTATTCATAACATAATTATAGCCACTGGGACCGTTCTGTTGCTGTGTATTCATACCATTAGAGCCACTGGCACCGTTCTGTTCTGCTGCCAGTACTGATAGGGACTTGAAAGTGATCTTAGAATCCTCGATTGCACTCCAAATATCCACTTTGTTATTCTCATCCAGTTCCAGTTCTGACAACACTATTACTTCCTGCTGATCATACCAGGATGGAGAAATCAACAATATATGAAACTTTTTTGGCGGGAAACGATCTGGGTCCGGAGTAGGTGCATAGACCCCCCCTTTCAACTTGTTGCTTTGCTGATCTTCTTTCTTTTGGAATGGTTTTGCGCTTCCAATAAGCTGTGTCTAGCAATCCAATCAAAGTATCCAGCTCTTTACTCCGCCATTCAAGCCGTAGTTTTTGACGAGAGCCACAAGAATTACTTGACACTAGTTCATCTTTGGATTGAACTTTGGGATGAGACAGCATTGCTGCTTCAGGGGAGTCTTTTACAAAGAATTTAGCCGCCATGTACACCCTGGCCTCATAGATCTGGTCCATAATAGGTTGGCATGAGCAACCTGATCATATTTTTAAGCAACAAGATTAGTATATCACACACCTTAGTCATATTTCTTTGTTTGCTTGTGATGCTTTTTGCAATTGCAACATTATCTTCTAAGGTTTTTTGGCCTTCAGGAGTACTTTTCATTGCAACCTTTGACTTTGTTCTTGAAATTTTTGGCCCTTGTTGCCACACCAGCGGCGAAGTACTTCCTGGCGGTTTGCAGCAGTGTTGTCTGTAGCCACAATTCCAAATTCCCTCGCGCCGTTTGCTTCATAAGCCTTAACACAACAAGCTAATATGATTGCAGACGTTGCTGAGTTCCAAGGTGTATCATATGATGCTTCCCAGTCAAAAGTACACCTTGGGAATCCTGCCATGGTCAAGGTAGCCTCACATTGGGACACCCAATGGTGTGCATATTGTGTACAAGAGCCAGTGAGGATGCGAGATGAGAAAATAACAGGCTGCATTGGATGCTTCAGAGTTGCCACCTCTGCTGTGTACTTTTCAACAGTCCTTTGCTGCTTTTGGTTTGGTTTGAAACCTGAAGGTTTTCTTGAAAGGTATCTTTTCATTGCTTTATCCTGTGCATCTTAAATGAACTTCTCTCTTCTCTGCCTCCGATTCTCCCAAGCATGACGCTCCTCCTCTGTTGGAGGGTCTGGCATCTTTTTCAGGGAGGCGTCCTCAAGAGCTGAAGACCCCCTCGATTTTCGTTGGATGCCCATGAGAATTTTTACAAACTCATGTATGGCTCTGGCGAACGGTGTTGCTGCTTTAGGAACTGGATGATGCCCAGCTACCTTTCCAATGCCTTCATTTCGATGTCGAATCTGAGTAAGGGCTTTCAGTTTTGCAGTTATATTTTGTTTTTGTTCTAGGACTTCTTCATGTGTAAGGTCACCATCTAACCCCACCACAGATAACCCAAAGAGCAAGAGAGGCCGTCAACTTTCATATACACCAGTATCTATACCATGACAATATTACACACCCGAGTTGTCTTCATCAGTCAAATCACCTATCTCATCAAAGTGGCTGTTTCCTTTTTTGAGGAATGGCCAAAAAGGAGTGCAAATTAGTTAACCTATATATATGGCATATTATATTTCTGATCATTGGTACATACCTCCATCACTGTGATCTTCTTCTTCAAGACAACACTTTTTACCAGTTCCGCCGGCGTTTGGGGTTTTCAGAGTACAGGTGGGTTGAGAGCTCATTGCGCAAGTTATACAATATGAAATAGATAATGAAGAGAATGATGATTCAGCTCACAAGAACTGATTTAGGTTGCTGAGCCTTGACACCAAGTTGACAAATATGTAAGAGAAGACTTATGAACTGACAAAGAAAAGAAACAAGTGCAGAAGAGTTGATGATAATCAACCAAAGGAGAAAAACACACAGGACACTTCTCAAGGAAAGAGCAGACCCCTCTTCCTTTATAATCTGCAACCCGTCAAACATATTGATCTTTACCAGACAGACCAACAGCTCTGGCTTTCAAAGTCTAGCCACCAGCCTCCACCTTTGAAAATTCACTGACTTGAACCGGTTTACCCGTCCTTTCATACATTATTGTTTATTCCTGATCAAACCACTCCAAGGACATGTTGAAGTTTCTGTGCACCAAGCCCAGTACATGTTTCAAAGAATTCATCTGAAGTCTTCTCTGAGACTTCAGTCGGATGCCCTCCCAATCCCTCTTGCATATGTTCAAAGAGCCTGTATGGTATCCTAGACAGAGTTTTTGAACTTAAAGAACTCTGGCAGATATGGTTGTCTTTGCCCGTTACTGCAGCTTTTAGCTCTGTGACCGTGTTTCCTCAACGGTCAACATGCAAGCTTAATGTGAGCACCTAGCATTTCTTGTTCCATCCCTGTTCAGCCAAAAAGTGTTGGGGTTCTTCACTCAGGTATCCATAGTAAGGAGTCCATTATGTTCAGTGGAGTTGTGCACCACAGAGAGCACAACAGTACATATTATCCTTTTCCAACTGAGAAATATGACTGTTTTCTGGGCCACCTTTCTCCGCAGAGCCCGGTTGTGTACCAACCCGCAAAAACACATGATATTGTTGCCTAGCCACAATTTTAGGGAACAACATCAAGATGATGCAATGTATGATGAACAAGCCTTTAGACATGTCCATCATCATCTCTTATTAGTTCCTAGATGAGAAAGGGTGCCATCCTTGACTTCAAACTTGCCCGGTCATTCTCATCGTGAACCGAATTTTATATGCTCAAGGGACTGTGAAGGTGTGGCCCTGGGTCGTCTTAAATTGCTCAGAAACCACTGATAAGGGTCAGAATTTGTTCCCACTGACACAATTACCTGTGATAAGCATTTAGATATCATGTCACACATATTTTAGAATGATTCTGGGGTAGCACAATAATCATTATCATTACTCACCATGGACAAGGCAGAGGGGTTATGTAAATCATTCCACTTGCAATTTTTTTGGGGGGGATTGAGCTTAAAAAGCAAGTGGCTCCCAGCTTTCTTGAATGGAAGTAGGTAACCAATTTTCAAAAAAAGCTCAACAAAGACAATTTTCAACTTTGGCACGGTGTGTTTTGTGGGAAATAATCTTTCCATTTACAAACAGATAAAGCATGTATGAGATTGGGATCATGAGATACAAATTGTGAAAAGTCGAGACCCTTCTCAAAAGCTTCAGACTTTTGTCAAAGACAAAACGGTTCACACACATGCCACCAAATTCTCAAGGGTTGAAAACTTCTTAATGTTAGGTGGGGGGTGTGAAGACACAAGAACACTAATAATAAGAAATGAAATCAGACAACAACAGAAATAATATGACTGAATCAGTTTTCATCTTTCTGGTGGACATTAGCCAAAGATATCTGAGGCAGCTGGGAGTGAATTGGAATCTTGGGCCACGTCAGCTGACCACTTTGCAACTTTTCCACCAGCTATCATATCTTCAATTGAAACAAGTTTAGTGTTGATGTTATTGATAGCATCTTGTGCTTTCTTCAAATCTTCCAAGCGCTTAGGCATAACCTCTAGTATTTCTTTTTGGAAATCTGCAAAGGCAGAAATTGATTTCTGCATCTCAGCCTTTAAAGTCGCGACCTCAGTCTGGACGGGATTTCTGACTTCTCCAAGCTTGTGTTGATCAGCAGCCAGTGAGGAGGCCAGAGCTACATCAGGATTGGTTTTGGAAAGATCACAATGAGATATCTCATTGTCACTCGAATAATGATCGTCGACCACACCGCCCAAGGGATGAAGATTGATTTTGCTATTGTCCGCAGGGAAAATTGACAGCATGTATTCCAGCTTGGGTAACAAAGAAGGTGTCATTCCAAGTGCAGCAAGATTGTTTGCCAGTAAGTGGTCTTGGAACTTTTTGCTGTACATGTTGGCTGGAAGGTGTAGTGTCACAAAGCCGTGGGCGGTGGCTGACGTGTTTATGAATCTAATACGAGTACGGCTTTCTCCAGGAAACAAGTCACGAGAGGTAGCATGAAAGTCTACTTGTTTCTCAATGGTCTCCATGAAGCAAATTGTTTTTCGGGACCACCATTGAGGTATGCTGAAATGCAGCTCGTTAACCAAATGATCCCCAGCCATAACTTTTACTTCGAAGACATCGCCCATCATAGTGTAGTTTCTCAGTTGGAAGATGGACACATAAACTGGGTTGGCGCCTGACTTGATCAAGAAATCAAAGTAATCTTTGCAAACCTGGTTTTGAAATGTGTCAGCACATGGAGAGTGATCAACAATGAGAAAGAAAATACTTAACACCTTTTTCTTTTCAGCTACCATGAAATGAAATGCGAGGACTTCTGAATTTTGGCATTGCTCCTTATACATCAAAGCAAGGCAATTGGACTGGCTCAAAAGAACTGGGAAGATTACTGCACGGGTGAGCAAGTCTATGTTTATCTTGCAATAATAAGTGTGATTGTTTATGGCCCGGTGGAATGAGTTCCAGAATATTTGACGGCCCAAAGAGTTCACGCGGTGTAGAACTCCTACGCAGTGTAGCGTAGGCTGAGCCGGAGAAGGTAAGAATCACCGTCAAGAAGGACGGATGAAACTACGATGCCGAGAGGCTGCCTTCAACCTGAAAAAAATCTACGAAAAATATTACGTGAGGCGAATTTTTCACAACCCCGCCGATACAAGTTTCCCGTAAACCTAATTCACTCCGTACAAAGATTTTCAAACTTTCTAAACCCTATTTATCCCTCCCACAACTGAGCCACACACACAAAGTAAAAAAAAAACAAATTAAAAAAACACAACTTGTCCTGGAATTGAACCCAGGTTCAGTCCTTTCCCCTTGGCCCTGATCTGGCCCTGACTCGAGTTAATAAAGCACAAAATAAAAAAAATAAAATAAAATAAAAACCCTTATCCCACTTGACTTCTACAACAACAACACTTTCAACGCTTCTTGATAAACTTTTAAAGTAAGTCTTCTACTTTTCTAACTCTTGATCTTTAACTAAGAACTAACAAAAAGAGAAACACTTTCTCTTTGTTTTTATGCTAAACTAGATAACTCAAGACTTCACACTTTCAGATCAAACACCAGACACTAACACTTTTAAATCACGTAACACTTAGACCATTAAAGAAAACACAACTCGATCTCGATTCAATACGAGATCCTCTACACACGATGCACACTTTTCTCTTTCCACACCAACCATCACCCCCTTTTATATCTTCCAGTCCCTTCAACCACAAGTTGGCCTCTACCTGCTTCTCCTATTCGCTCCGAGCGATTCCTTTTGATTTCTTCGTTCCGACCGTTTCCCATGCTAAAATCAATCTCATCTGACTCAATTCTTCCTTTTTGAACCAGGTAAGTTCTTTTCTTCCTTCTTTTCACATTCTATCTCTTCTTTTATCTCTTTCTAATACTAATGACATCATCTTTTTTTTATTCATTCTTCTTTAGCTTATCTTTCCAACCGTTCCCAGCTTATATCCTTCCGTTTATCGACTTCGGTTTTCGATTTCCTTGCTCCAGGTATGTTTTCTTTCTTTTCTACTTTCTTATTTCTTTTCTTAATCGATTCGTTTTGTTGACATCATCTCGTCTTGTCTATCTTTTAGCTAGCGTCTTCTTTAACTAGATCTATCTTGGCGATTCGACTTGATCTTGGTTTCTTTTACTTTCTACTTCCTTCTCGTAAGTTCTTTCTTTTTCTTTTCCTTTTAAATGATTTTACATAATGTTTTAACTTTGTCTTCTTTTTGTTTTTTTTGTTTGTTCTTTCACTCGTTTCTATTCTCATCTATTCTGTTTGTTGTTTTATATTGTTTATTTAACTTTTTAAACTTTTTATTTTCTAGTCTAGTCTTTCTTCTTTAGTCTTCTTTTGTTTTATGAAATATGAATTTAGAAAAAGATTTGAATTTTAAAAACTAAAAAATTTGTTCTGAATTTGAAAAAGAACACGAGAGCTGCCCGAGTTGAGAGTTTTGCTGAGCTGAGATTGAGATAGATAGAGGAAGTAAGGTAGCTTGATGAGTATAAAAGAAGAGGAGGGAAAGGCTTTTTGCTTTCCACATCCTCCCCCAACTTAACTATTCGTCCCGAATAGCTTTCTTTTATCGATTGCTTTTTAAAAAAACCCCTTTTTACTTTTAAACATCCTTTTCGATTGTTCTCAGTGTTTTAACACCCATAGTCGATTGTTTGTTTCGATTTTACATATCTTTATCGAATTCGCCCTGTCTCATCACCGAGACCTTATCTCTTATATCGTAGCCTGCTTTTCGCTATCTAATACTCGGTACGTGCCCTTCTTAAAACCACCTCCTATACTCAAATTCATCCGCTGATTGTCTAACCCTCCCTTTTTATGTTTTGTTCTTGTTTTTTAAGGTTTACAGGGTAGTTGCTCTTTGTACTACATATACTACTTGTGTTAAATAGCTCATTTGCTACTATCTAAAACCAGGTTTGTCCAGTTTTTTGCTGAGTTTTGCTCTGTTTTGACTCGTACATATACTAATAATCATTCTACCCTCAATCTTGACCCCTGATTTTGAATTTTGCTTGTTGATTTCCAATCAGGTATGTTCCATTTCTATTTTAACTTTGTGTGTTTTCCATGACTAACTTGTGCTTTATGTCTATTTTCCTCCTTTGTAATGTTCATTTAGACAAAATGTTTACCAATGCTCACAAACCCCACCCCTATGCCTGCTCTTCCTGCATGGAGGATGACCGGTCCTGTACCTGGATTGTGTACAACTCAGCTCCACCTCGTGGTCCTGCCCCCGTTGAGAGTTGTGATCAGTGCGCCAGACGTGGCATGTATTGTGGTAAGTTTTCCCTTAAAAAATTTCTTCTTGTAAATGTGTATTGATTAACTTTAATTTGTTTAATCCTCCTTCTTTAATGTCCATTCTCTTTTCCTAGACTGGCCACCTGCCACTGACTCCAAAGGCGACATTGTAGTTCCTCCGACTGTCTCTCCTTATGTCCCCGGTGCCGACAACAAGACGGAAGCTGCTTGTCGTGCTCGAGTCCTAGCTTGGACCTCCAAACCGGACAAACCTACTAACCCTAAGTTCTTTGCGAGATGGAAAGCTGACATCTGCTTGTGGAACAACCGCGGAAACGCCCCTCTTTTGCCCAATGTCTCCACCAAGTTGCCCGACACCAAACGTCACCACCGTCCTCCTCCTAAGGCGCCAAAACCTCAACCTCAGGCTCCTCAACAGCCTCCTCCTAAGCAACCGTCTTCGCCACCTGCTCTTGATCCGTTTGTTGCACCGTTTGTCCCTGCTCGTCCTAAGACCCCTCCAATTAAGATTGATGTTACTCCACCTCCTACTCAAAAACCTCCTAACTTTTCTTCCAACGCTACTCATCCCGAACCTGTCAATGTTATTGATTTAGACCCCCACCCTGTTATTGACTTAGACCCAGAACCCGTTCCTACTCCTTCTTTAGATGATGTGATTGAAGAATGTATTAAGAAGTATGGTGATAAAGCTGTTCTTTTCTGGTTTGCTAAAAAAGTAGATTTATCTGAAGAAATTAGACGTGTAGGTAAATATGTTCCCTCTACTTCTTCCGCAGCTACCATTTCTAGTCTTACTCAATCTATGGTAGAAAGCTTGTATGAACATTGGTCCGTCTTTGATCCCAACTCTGAAAAAGAGGTCCATGCTAGAGTCCGTCTTATTCGAAGATTGAAATCTCTTGTTGCTCATTTTATCATGTATCCTCCTTCTTCTGAGTCTACTGATCCTAGTACTTCTTCTTCTGACAAGGGTAAAAAGCGTGCTTTCAATCAAGATTAAAGTTGTTGTTTTCTTCATTCAAATCTTCTTCTACTTTCTCTTCTGTCTTTACCGTTTACTTCTTGTGCTCCGATTCTTGTTATCCATTTCTTGCTAAAGTATTAAAGCCAAAAAAATCTTATGAATAAAGGTGTAGTAGGAAAATCTCGTAGAAAAAATCGTGAATAATAATAAAGACCCAAATTTATTGGAATGATTGCGAGTTGCCTTTAAGAAGTTTTTCTCTTTAAATTCTTGAGCCACCTCCCCCAACTTAGATGAAAAACCACTATGTCCACCTTTATTTGATTTATACGACACATTTTAAACAGTAACCTTCCACGTCATACTAAATTAAACTACTCCACTAACTCCATTCCGTCCACTTGTAACTATACTTATTCGATATGTTGTCCATAATTCTTATTCCCGTAATTCAAACTACTAAATAAACCAATTCCCAAGTAACCTCTAAACTAGGCCTTGACACTAATGTAATGCGCACCGGAGTCTGTCCCGGATACTAACTTGTACTATATCGCAAGAATACATGTATCAACTATCTTCAAAATTTAAGCTATAAGTAAATATCCCAGAGTCGTGTTGTCGTTTTAATCCCATACTAAGTTTCAAGTCCCCTATCAAAAACCACCAATACCTCAAATAAAAATTTCAATAACCGTAATCATCCTAGCTGTCCTACACAAACCAACCTCCTCATTCACTCATACCGCTAGTCCGTAACCCATACCAAAAAAGAAAAATAAGAAGAGATCATGCTGTAGTAGTAACCATTTTATATGTAATTTCATTGTAATTTTTGTTGCCGCTTTGCTTGAATTGTTGATAATGCACAGCCTCTCCCCAAACCCCCTACTACAGTCTTATGTTGTTGTAATTTAAAATGATTTGATTTGCTAAACTTGTTTTGATGTAATATGTAACACTAATATTCTATTACCGGCCAACTATTCCACCATCCTCAACTACCAATCCCGTCCCCGTAGAAAAGAAAAAAGAAAAGAAGAAAAAAGAGAAACATATCCAGAGTTTGAATCCTACTATTCGTAATTGTTTTTCATTATACTTTGACGTTTGAATATTCATTATTTAAATTTTGTTTTTATGTAATTGTTGATTTATCCTTCATGTGATTGTTTGATTTGATTTAATTTGATTTTTACTTGATTGGTTTGACCATTCATTCCTGCCTGCTTGCCACCAACCTTGTCCACCTATACCCATCCGCCGTGATAACAAAAGAAAAGAAGAGAAAAAAAGAAATTGATAAAGTGATAATTTGAATGTAAGTAAATTTGTAATTTTAAACAAGAAAATAAGAGATGAAAGAGAAAAAAGAAAATAAAGAAAATAAAGAAAAGGCTTTATAGCAGTAATCCATTAATGTTGTTTTATTTATTATTTTTAGTTGACTGATTGTTGAATTTATTTTTGTAACTTATACCTATCCCGTGCCCCCTGCTATTAAATTGATAATTTGAAGTAAATATAAAAAAAGAAAAAGAGAAGAAAGAAAGAAAGAAAATTGATTTTAAGTAGTATTGCAAATTCAGCTTGATTGATTGAATGTTGAATTTTGATTTGATGATTGTTGCGCCCGCCCGGTACCCACTACTTATTTTGATTTATGATTAATATAATAACTATCCATTCCTGCCATCATCCACCATCCTCGTTATCATATCCTACACCGCCAAGATAAAAAATAAAGAATAAAGAAACTGATAACAAACTAAAAAGAAAAACCTTGAAACTGAAAAAACAAAACTTTGAAAAAACTGAAGAAATAATGAAATTGAGATTGAGATAACTGATTTTAAAATTGAGAGCTAAATTTATTCTTTATACACCACCAAGTCCCCATATTAACTACTAGTTGGTGATAGACATCCAAGGTTACTTGGATTTTCTATATACTGAATGCCCATTGATTCACCAACACTCATTATAATTCTGAATACCTTTCACCGGAAAATTCCTCCACATACTCCGGAACCACACCACTATCTTCTACTTGAGCCTCCCGCTCTAATCTTGCTAGCTGTACTTCCACCAATGTTGTCCTCTTTTCCCCTAAATTCAATTCACGTTCCCAATCACCTTCATCCGGTTGGCATATAGTAAACCTAGTCCAAATTCCCCTCTCATCCCGTAATGTCAACCTTTCACCAATAGCCTTCCCAAACTCAATTCCTGCTCTGAAGTCCATAAGAAAAGGACGTCCCAGTAATATTGGACATTTACTGTCCTTGGCAATCCAAAAGTGAGCCACACCCTGCACTCTAGTCCCTACTACCACTTCTATAGCCTCCCCAATCCCAACTAACTCTGTCCTTTGTCCTCCAATGCCTCTAACTCCTGACCTAATAGACACCAATCCTGTCAACCCTAACTCCTCCGCTACTGATTCCGGAAGGATGTTGATTTGGGATCCAGAATCAACCAAGGCCTTAACCCTTTTCTTCTTCCCGCCAAGCATAATGTCCAAATATCCTAAAGGACAAGAGTAGAGTACATCCTCCCCATCATCTTCACTCTCTGAACTAGACTCTTCTTCGTCTAATCCACCAGTAGCTGCTCTTAATGGCTTGATGATCCTAGGAATAACAACCCGCCGCTTAGAAACCTGCTTCTTGACGTGCTCCGCCAACGCTGGTGAGATAGCACACAGTTCCCCAACCTCTGCCTCTATCTTGGTCTTCATTATTTTTGTCACCACATTATCCATCACCCCCTCATAACCTTTCTCCACTGGTCTTTCAAATCTTCCCTTGACTATATCCTTCTTCTGAATCTTTGGTGCTACTACCGTTGGCCTCTTCCTTTCTTTTAATTCCGCCAACGGGATATCTTCACTACTATCATCATCTCCAGCCAACTCCATAAGTTGATCTTCTTGATCTTCATTGTCCTTTGACATTGTGACCTTCTTCTTCTTTGGCGCCTCCGCCGGTTCCGCTCTACCTCTACATCTTTTCACTTCTACATCATAAACCTTAGTCCCCGCTCCCGCCATTGCAGCCTTAAATCCTTTACTCGTAAGTCCAGGAGCCTTCCATTCCTCCAGTATGCCACAGCTTGCCCTAAGTTCCTGAATTTGAGATCCACCAGACTCATCTTTAGTCAATATCCCGGTAACAACAGTCTTCTCAGGTACTACTACAGCCTTAGCTGTTTCCGCCGGAGGTGCACTTTGGCTTGGTGCCCCCTTTGCTGCAATCTTTGCTTGCTCCATTTGCAAGGAATAATCTGCAACTACTGCCCTAATAGGTCTACTACTGTCCCACCGAATTACCGCGCCATTAGACAGTATATAGGTATTGTTATGCTTGGTAACATATCCATCATTTATGTCCTGTTGCTTATCTGGGCACCTGTTATGGCCATGTCCTTCTCTTGCACAGTAGTAACACATCAATGGACCATCTCGAAAGTTTGACTGTTGGAACTCTCCTCTGGGAGGCCCATTGTTGGGAGGTGGTACCGCTGGTCCGCTGGCTGGCTGCTGGTTACCATTGTTGCCTTGGCACTGGCCAGCTGAAGTATTCCATTGGGAACTTGAGTTGTAACCTCCTCTACCTTGATTCCCACCATATCCACCCCTATTTCCGCCATATCCTCCTCTTCCTCTATTCATTCCAAAGTTCACATACCGCCCGCCAGTTTGATTGTTAGGTCTGGAAGCATTGTTGTTGAACTGGCCTCCTTGCTGACCTCCCCGGAAATAAGTTGAAGAATTAAACTGAGGTTCGGGTCCTCCTCTGTTTTGAGCCGGCGGACCAAAGTTGTTCTGTTGTCCAGAATACAAACTATTCCGGAACCCGCCGTGGACTTGACTGTTTGGGTTGGCAGCCATAGGTCGACTCATCCCTTGCCCAATCCATGCCGCAAACTGACAAACCAACTCGCTGATGGTAGCCTTGTCTGACACCTTGCCTCCAATCTTCTTGTTCAAACCTTCCATCTTCAATCCTCTTCTCTCCTTATCTTTCTGTACCACCTTCTCCTTGAGTTCCTCATCCCTCTTAGTCTCCACCTCCTTCTTTCCTCTTAGCTCTTCAAATACCAATTCGACCTCCTCTTGTAACACCGTATGAACTGTCTTCTTAAGTACTCTCCACCCTGGCAGCCGGTGCCTTCCGTCCCTTGTCTTTCTCAAATCCCCATCACTCCTTAACTTCTCCTTGATCTTCTTCTGCATACTGTCCGAGAATGCTCTGTAGTAGTAGTTACATATCTCGTCCTCGGAGTCAATGTAATCGGACTTCTTGAGATAGACTAGGATACTATCAAATTTATGCCTGAACCCTTCAAACTCTAACTTTGAGTCAATTCCTCCATTACTTTCAGAATCCAAGGCTAGCTCCTTCAAATCCTCCACAGTGTACTTAGGCGCCTCTCGGATTGACACATACCGGTCCTTCATTTCCATCTTCAACAACTTCCAATCCCATTCTCCTTCTCCCCAACCTTTAAGTTGCTTAATTTCCTCCTTTAAATCCTTCCCATTCACAAATGCACAGACTTGCATTGCCATGTCTACACCGCTTGCTCCATCAACCTGTGCCGCGACCTCAAAGTCCCGTAAGAACTTCTTGACATCATCGCCACGATTGAACCTTAGTTCTGAATCTTGGGGTTCAATCTTAACCACTTTCTTCTTCCCCTTCTTCCCCTTCTTGCTCTTCTTCCTCGGCTTGATGTCCACTTCACTCTCATCCCCCGAGCTTGAACTCTCCTCACTACCGCTATCCGAGCTTGAACCGCCTCTGCTTCCGCAATACTTCTTCCTTCCTTTCCCCTTACTTTCCTTCCTTGGCTTCTCTCTTACTTCCTCCTTCAATTTCTTCAACACCTTCTTCATGTGTTCTGCTTGTAGCTGCGCCTCCATCAAATATTCCTCCGCCTCCTGAATTGAGATTTCCTCCTCTGTCAGCCTTCCGTCTTCATACTCCATTGGAAACTCCTCTTTCAATGTTTCCCCCACACCTCTTGTAGTG